AAAACCCCTATGAAATCCACCTATTAATATATATACACTGGTTGGTGGTTTAGAACATTTTTTATTTTCCATAATACTGTATATGGTAAAAGATGAAAATTGGGATTACCCTCCAGTAAATTAACAGTTCGACCCTGCCAGTTGTCGGGGTTGGAAGACTAGTTTCCACTATAAATTGGTCATTTTCAGGGTCGAACTGTTAATTTACCAGGGGGTAATATCTATGAATTCTATCCAAAAATCCCTACATATACCAATTTTTTTTTGGGGTTGATTCCATGTTTTTAAAGAATGATTATCCCACCATGAAGGATGGTTAATTCCATGCGATTATCCAATATTTTGATCATGGCACTGATGGCTGAAATTTCGAAATTGGGTAACCTCATTGCCATCATTGAGTGAAGACACATTGAGGATCATTGAGGAAGGTCACGACCCGGCTGGTGGCTTTGAACCATGTTTTCTTTTGTTGATTTCCGTGACTGCGATGTTGATTTCCAACTGAGGTATGCTTATGAGGTGTTAGCTATGCGTTCCGTGACGATCAATTCATGCTTCTTAATGATTCAACCGTTAAGCCGTTAAGCCTTTATATTTTTTGTTGATATGACATTTCCCTTTATTTCAGGACCCTGCATGGAGTTACTGTAGCATAGAACGCCCTATGTTGTGGGGGTATTCTCTTACTCAGGCCTAACATAGACCTTGCACAGATCAATACCTTTACTCGCCCGCGCCGCTTGGATCCTGTCGAAGCTCCAAGGGAACGAAAAAAGAATGCTGCTCCTTAAGGGACCTGCACCTTACTTGGTGGCTCATCCCACGGCTCGTAAGTGGGTTATAACCCCAGTTATAAATGGGATAAGTAGGTTAATCCACTTATAATTGGGGGTATAACCCACTTACTAAGTGGGATGAGCCACCAAGTACACACACAGTCTCAGAAAGATCCGTTGTTGAACCTGGGACCTGACCGGGTGCAACACCTTTTCGTGGAACCTGCGTGCGCTATGAGGCTGGTAGTTCTGCGGTATCTTCGCACACGGCCTCTGGTAATAAAAAAGGTTGGAAGACCATCCATTTCTGGTTGGTGGTTTGGAACAAGAAGCAACAGGAGCGAGCAATGAAGGAAGAGCTGCGTGAGGAGATGCAGCAGGCGTTTTTTTTTGGGGGGGACGGTTTCTTTTTCTTTTTCGTGGTTTCTAAAACCAATGTGAAAGGGGTATGTGCAACTGGTAGCTTTCCGGAGCAATGGGAAACCTGTAGATTCCAAACAGTCCTCCAAATTTATGCAGTTCAGTTGCCAAGTCCAAATGAAGATCGCTCGAAAAAGAAATGATTGAATGTTCCACCTTTGTTTATGCCGACAAGCCAGCAATACCATATGAGACGCACACGAGCATCTGTTTTGAGCCGTTTGGCCCAGTTCCTGCCAGTGGGGTACGGCTGCGCAGGCTGATAGCTGGGTGTTCGCTCCACCAACTTTTGCCATTGCCATGGAATCTTTCCCAATGGATTTCTCTGTTGTTGATAAGGGGGATACTATGTCGTTGGTTGCCGAGATTGCCTTCTTCGACCCCAGTCATGAAGCTCACATGTTACTCCTGCCTCATTCAGGTGCACTGTGCAAGTTCCAGGGTTTGCTAGATGATGGTTTTTGGCGGTATACCATTTGTGATGCTGAGTTTGTTTGCCAGTTTCCGATGCCCCGATTGAAAAGCTGTGGCATGACCAGGATCCTGTCACACACCAAACCCGCGTGGTGTGATTTTTACAAGATGGTAGATGCCTGCTCAGGTGCAGGTGGCATTGCCCATGGGGCATTGGCGGTTGGTATTCAGACTGTTGTAGCTGTTGATGCCAATGACCGGATGTTGAGTCTTCACCAGCGTCATGACTCATGTGAAGTTGTTCATGGAGATATCAGCAGTACGGATGTTATCATTGAGACTTGGCACAACGCCCAGCATGCAGCTGTCATGTGTGCAGGGTACAGTTGTCAGCCATTCAGTGTGTTAGGGGATAGGAAAGGGGGGGCTGATCCCCGTGCTGCATCCCTCTGTGGGGTCCTGAAAGCCGCTGTCATGCTTCAATCCCAGGTCTTAGTGTTAGAGTGTGTTTCACCAGCACGTCATGACCCTTTTGTTGTCAAGTCCATTGATGCATTCGTTCGTTTGACTGGTTTTCACAAGGAAATCATCGAGCTTCGTCTTGATTCCATTTGGCCCAGCCGAAGAACCAGAACATGGTGGGTTTTGTCTTCCAAATTGTTTGGTCCTGTCCAGATTCAAGAGTTTCCGGTGTTTTGTAACCTTGAGAAGGTCCATCGTCTCATGCCATATGTCTGTCAATGGAACCCTAGAGACGAGCTTGCTCTTGCGCTTGACCAGAACGAGTTGACTGCATTTGGATGGGAGGACAGTTCATATGCCAAGCACCTGCTCACTCCTGACTGTGTAGCACCAACTGCACTGCATGCTTGGGGATCACAGGTCCGGGGTTGTGAATGCGGCTGTAGAGCTGTGGGTCTTTCTCCACAGAGACTTGATGAAAAGGGTTTGTTTGGATGCCTCCTTCAGAGTGCCTCCAGTGACACCACCACTCCTTGCCTTCGCCACCTGCATCCGTGTGAAGCACAACTCCTCAATGGAGTTGACCCCATGATTGACTTTGGCGAGAACGTGAGATTGGCTCTTTCAGCCATTGGCCAGATTGCATCGCCATTGCAAGCTGCATGGATTCTAAGCTTTATTGTAGCCAGGCTGGAAGTCTTGTCTCATGGGAAATGCATGTTTCCACCGCTGTCACAATTGCATGCTTTTCGCTCATGGCTTGTTGCACGATCACAACTTGTTTGGCCCTGCAACGATTGCATGTTGGATGACCCGAAGTTGATTGACCTTGTAGCGCAGTGGTATAGTGCACGTGAGCTCTTCCTTCCTCAACTGTTGGATCCTTGTCGGTGGCCGATTGAAGCCACTAAGCCGATCTCCATTGCTGAAGTTTTGGACTGTCTCATTCGGAGTGCCCAGGTCTCAGCTCCAACAGTGCCTGTTGCGTCGCTGCCTGATGATGAAGAAACGCCTGTCTTTGATTTTGTCACTGCTGACCCCAAGGGCGAGTTGTGCATTTCTCAAGAACAATGTGTTGTTTCTTTCTGTGGTTCTGGTGAGTGTGAGGTTTTCTGCTCTGTTGCCCCGGGCACCACCATTGCTGAGATGCTTCAAGCACATGCCAAGCTTGTTGGTCCATTTTGGGTTGGTCAGATCCGTGATCGCCTTGATCATTGTCTCTCTTTGGACTTTGGCCTTGAGGTAGGACAGCATGTTCAAGTTGAGCTTTCATGTCATGGCCATGGGACTCTTTTTGGCTCTTGTGATGCAGGGGAATCCGGGCTACTCCCATCAATGCCCGAAGTTTCAAAGCTGAGTGATGGCCCTTTTGCGGCTGTCGACAATGATGCACATATGCAAGACATTACGGCCACAGTTGCATGGACTGAGCCTTGTTCGACTCATGATGATCAGCCTGGTGGGGTTCACAATCTTGCCATTGGAGTTGCAAATGACCAGGGGTTGCATGTTCCTCAGGGCTGGTGCTCCGCTTCGGCTTTGCTTGGCCTTGACTCTGCACAGTTCCTGAACTTGCAGGTGCCGACCATTGCAGATCCTGCCCAATTGAGTGCCCTTCGTTCTCAGGTGATCTCTGCTTCAGATCGTTTGCAATTGCTCTCTTGTCAGGGAGATCTTTGGGCGGACGATGAATTGAGATTTCATTTGCATGCCATCTCTTCGGCGTATGTTCAACACTGTGCCAAGATTGGTCACACTGCTGGCTCTAGTCTCCTTGTCATTGACCCGCTGATTACTGCTGCATGGGGGGCGCCTCATGCTTTTGCGTGTGAAGTCTGGGCTGGATCTCATCCTGAGGTCTTGCGTGACGGGGTGCAAGTCATTGGAGTTTTTCGGATCAACCATCATTGGGTTCCTGTGCAATTTGTCCCCAATGGACATCACCTGAACATTCACACTTGGGATTCACCAGTGAATTCACATGCTGATCTGAATCAAGTGATTGAACGTTTGTCGAAGGCTTGGGGCTTCAAGTCGTTCCTCATCAATTGTCAGCAGAGAGTGTTTTTCACATGCAACAAATGTGGTGCTATGGCCATTCATTTTCTTCAGGATTCCTTGTTTGGCACATTGCTTCCCGGCACTCGAAGTGAAGCTGATGCTTGTCATGACATGCTGAGAGGTCGCTTTGTCACTGCCCTGAAATCGTGTCAGGTCACTTTGCGACCATGGGTCTGGGGTAGTGGTGATGATGAAAGTTCCGAACAGGCTTGGCCCTCTGAGGTGAGTGAACAGGACCAACCAATTGCAGCTGCTGATGTTGCGTCTTCATCGGCTGATCCGGCACCGGGTGTCAGTGTTCCTCTCACTGGGGCATATGATCCGACACGCTCTCACACCTGCATTCCTCTTGAGGATCGTATCGAATTGCTTCGAGCTCATGGTCATGACATGGCTGATGACGAAATAAGATTTCATTTGCAGGTCATCATTGGTCGCCGCAATGAAAAGCGTGTTCGAGAGACCCTCCCATTGCCTGTTGTTCTCATGTCTGAGCCCTTGAATTTCCTCAACTGGGATGAAGTGGGTCACATCATTACTGAAAAATGGTGCTGTGCTTTCCCTCAGGTGCGTGATGAAGGTCATCAAATTGTGTCAGCCCTTTGGATTGATGGCCATTGGATTCCGTTGTGGTTTGTGCCAGGTGGGCGTGTTTTGGTTGTTCATACCTTCAACGATTTTGGTGACTATGATGGACTTGATGGGAAACTGCGTTGGATGGGACTCCATCTTGGTTTTGAGGATGTGGTTATTCACCGAATCCCCAATGGATTGCCGTCACACAATTTCTGTGGTGCTCACACCATGGCATTTATTGCACATGTTTTGCTAGAAGCACCGCTTCCGGACACTGTTGATGAGCTTCACAATATGCATTCTAACATGCGTGCTCACTTTGTCCAGGAGATCTACGCAGATCAGGTTTGCAGATGCCCGTTGATTTGGGGTGCGGGGGGGACGGGAGCTTTGGTCAAGTCGTTGTCCGAAGAGCTCCTTAAGCATGGTGTCCCTCCGCAGTTGTCGGAAGCCAGAGCGTCCCAAGCAATTCGTGCAATTGGCAGTGAACAGTTGATTCAAGCTTTGCAGGCCCCCCAGCCATGGCGCCAGTTGAAAGCTCTGGCGAACAATGTGAGCTTCAAGTTTGTTTTGCCTTCCGAACTTGCTGCGGTAGTTGCTTCCAACAAAAGCAAGCCAGTTGGAAAGAAACAACCTAAAGACAAGCAGGGGCCGGGAGTTCCCCCTTCGGTTGACCTTGATTTGTCGAAGATTCAGGTGCTTGAGGGTGCTTTCCGTGCTCAAGGTCGTGTTTTGCCCCAGCTGCAGCCGCAGCAGATTGGCCCTGTCAGCTCTGGTTTTGTCCTTATGAGTGCTCAGGATGCTGAACCATACCTGCGAAGTGGCAAATGTGTGTCCAAAGAACCTCTGGCGCTGGTGGTTGTTCACAGGCGAGATGTCCAGGTACAGTCCATGCTTTCCCAAGTCCAGTGCACTGTTCCCTGCAGGTGTGTGGTTGACAATGAGCCCCTTTTGATTGAAGCCACCATTGTTCAGATTGGGTCTGGGACGGTTGAGAAGTTTGCTTCCAGTAACCCAGTTTCACTTGACCAGCCTGATGTCAACACTGTTCGGATCTCGGTTTATCGGGATGAGTTTGCTGAGTCATGGGAGTCGTTTTCGAAAGCCCCCATTCGTGCCATTGTTCAACTGTTGCCAGAGCTTAAGCGTTGTGAAGTCGAAGGTTGCACCTGCAGTTCATGGCATCCTTCTAGCAATCCCCAGATTCGTGATCCGATCCTTGACTTGTGGCGTCGTCAATTTTTGAAGTTTGGCTTTAAGCAAGTCGATGCCAGTGATGCAGACTTCTTTGCTGTGTCCATTCGTGTCCCATCCAGTCTGATGTCGGCAGTGCTTGGTCGCAGTGGTCACCAAGGTCTGTATGTGGAGCCACGAACAGCTGACGGAAAGCTTGTGTTGGATCAGTACATGGTGATATGGACTCCTAAGGAGACTTTGCAGAACTTGTTGCACTTTCGCCAGACTATGCCCGCAGTGTCTGGCCTTGCTCGAGTTGGTGACAGGAGAGGACTTCGCGTCCTTGCTGACCAGGCTGAGAATGTGCACCAAATGTTGAAGCCAGGGACTTTGTTCTTGCCGCAAGGGAATCGTTCTTTGTTTTTGGTTGGTCCTGTGCCATTTGGTTTGGATCGCATGGCAGTTGCCAAAGCTATGCAGTTGATTGGATGGAAATGCAAGCCCCTTCAGCCCAGTGCACCCCAACCGGGGAAAGGTGCTATGTGGCAAGTGCAGGCGGTTGAGGATCCTCCGAATAGCATTGTGCAAACCACGCTTGGGGAAATTTTGATTTCACGTCACAAGATTTCTGAAGCTCCAAAAATCGTTGATGATGCACCAGTTGCTTCTGCTGCCACCCTTGCGTTGTGTGGCTCTGCTCCGCAGTCAAAAGAGGACCCATGGTCTAAGCAAGATCCATGGCAGCAATATGCTCCGGTGTCCAAGCCATCTGCCCCAGCTAATGCTGTCCCCGATGCTTCCGAAAGTTTGCAGCAGTTAGAATCCAGGATTCAATCTGCAGTGCTTTCTCGGCTGCCCCAAGCGATGGAACAGGATGATGTGCCTGATCGTCTTCAGCTCTTGGAAGGCCAAGTACAAAGCTTGATGCAGCAACATGGGAAGATGGAAACGCAGTTCCTTGAGTTTTCTTCACAGCAAACGCAGACTGTGTCCAATCTCCAGAATCAACTGAATGTTCAGGCTCAACAGATGCATGGTCAGCTGGAGCAGCAAAGCCAGAATATCCAGGCGATGTTCGAAACGCAGTTGTCGCATATCCGAGGGCTTCTTTCGAAGCGGCCCAGGGAAGATGGTGAGTGAAATGGTGGGTCGGGATGGTGTTTTGTAGTGTCTTGGCTGATGCTGCCATTTTGGATTGCTGGATTCTATCTGAACACCTTCCTGGAGCCCTTTCGTTATTTTGGGTTGGCCGTGTGCCGTTCACAAAGGCAGTCTAGACTCCACCTGATGAGTGCTGTACGTGTCTTTGTGCTTTTTCTTTTGCTGCGGATTGGGGAAGCCACAAACCCCGGTCCTGACAATGTCTTTGTTTTGGGGACTGCCAATCCTTCTGGGTTGCGGAATAAAGCGCCATACGTGGCCTCCCATATGGCTCATGGGGATGTTTGGGCCTTTTCCGAGACTCACCTGGGTTCCAAAGAAGTTGGGTCTCTTAATGCCGGTTTGAAGTTTGCGGGGTCGCCTTTTCAGCCTTTTCTTGGTGGATTCCCTGTCCCGAGTTCCAGGACCAATGCTGGTACGTGGAAAGGAGTTGGTGTGCTGTCCAAAACGCCTGTTAGACGTCTTCCGCATGATTGGCCGAATGAAATTGCGCAGTCGTCTCGGGCCTTGGCTTTCACTACTTTGCTTGATGATGTGTGGCTGACCGGTGGAGTTGTGTATGGAGAACCTGAAAGTCATCTGTATGCAAATCGCCTTCAACATACAGAAGCTCTTCTGGAGTCTGTCATAGGGTCGGTCTGTTACCTTTCGTCTGGTCCGCGTTTCGTAGCGGGAGATTGGAATGTTTTGAACCATGGGCTGCCTGCATTCCGCATGCTTGAGCAAGCAGGATTCCGTGATCTGCAAGACCTTGCTTTTGATAGGTGGGCCATCCCTCCTCAAGCTACCTGTAAGCATCGCACTAGAAAGGACTTCTGCTACATTTCGGCTGAATTGCAAGCTCTCCTTGTTGATGTCCAGCTTGTTTGGGATGTTTGGCCGGACCATGCCATGTTGCAAGGATCTTTTCGAAGATTGAAGCAATGCATTCCGCGTGACGTGTGGAGAATGCCCTCTGCTTTCCCTTGGCCAAATGAGTGGTGTGTACCTGCTGACTTGTGGGGTTCCCTTGAAGGCACTCCGACTGACAAATACACTCAGCTTTGGCAACAGTTTGAACAGTCGGCGGAGCAAAAGTTGCCCTTTGTGCCTGGACGCCATACGAAAGGCCGTGCTCAGACAAAGAGACTCTCCAAAGTGCAGGTTGGGAAATGCCCCCCTGTTAAACTTGCCAGGAATGGTGATTTTAACCAACATTTCCATGGTGCGTCATTTCGGCATGCTCAGTGGGTTAGACAACACGTCGCCTCCAGTCTTATGTTCGGCATGTTCAAGTCCATGGGTGCGATTCTGCCTTTGCGAGTGATGTGTGGGTCGCGATTGTTCGGGCTGCTGGATTTCATGGTGGTTTTGCTGCATGGTGGTTGGTCTGTCCGTCCAAAGTCTTTGGTGCTGACCGTTACTTGCCCTTGTCTCCACCCAGTATTGAGTGTGCTCTGAAAATCTTTGAGACCATGGTCATTGAAGTACGATTGCTTGAAAACCAGCTCCGGTCGTCCTCCAGGCAATATGCTCGGCTTCGCCGTGCAAAGAACCCTAATTTGATTTTTAGTGATATCAAGGACCACCCCTCCAATGGAGTTGATTTCCTGTTGAGGCCGTTGAAAGCAGTAGTTGTTGACCTTGATGAGGAATCCAACGCTGTAGTGGTTGAGCCCCCACAGCAGTGGGTGTCCACACGCCCGGTCTTCTGCAATGGTTCTGCCTTGTCGGTCATTCATGCGGAGGATGACTGTCTGTATGTGGAATCCATCGATGGCATTAGGACTGGCATGGCAGTGTCTCAGCTTTTGTCCACTGGCTCTAAGGAGGAACTTGCCAACTCTTTCCTTGATGCTTGGAAGCAACGTTGGGACAGACACAAGAATGTCCCTCCGGAGCGTTGGAATGTGATTCTTCAGTTTGCCCGTACTCATTTGCCGCGGCATCAGTTCCAATGGGATTCGTTGACAGTTGAGTCCTTGGGTCATGCCATTTCCAGACGTAAGCGTTCCTCGGCCTCTGGCTTGGATGGTGTGTCAGTTTTGGACCTCCAAAGTTTACCCACGTCTGCCTTGACTTCATTTTGCATGATGTTTGATGAGGCTGAGAGTACTGGTGTTTGGCCTGGCCAGCTCTTGGAAGGAAAGGTCTCCTGTCTTGCCAAGAATGATGCTCCGGCCGGGGTCATGGATTATCGGCCCATTACTGTATTGGGTTTGCTGTACCGAATTTGGGGTTCCCATCATGCTAGACTTGGTATCCGTGCTCTTGATGGTCTTCTCCCATCAACCCTGTACGGTTCGCGTCCTAGTCGATATGCAGGCCAGGTCTGGAGCCAGCTTTTGTGGGCGGTGGAAGACTCCATTGCTGCGGATGTTTCCCTCTCGGGAATTTTTGCTGACATTCAGAAAGCTTTCAATTGTTTGCCGCGGTTTGTAATTTTTGAAGTTGCTGCGATGGTCGGTATTCCCATGCGAATCTTGACTGCTTGGGCAGGTGCTCTGTCTGACATTGGTCGTCGTTTCCAGCTTGGCCCCAATTTGACAAAAGCTGCTTACAGTGTGACTGGTTTGCCAGAAGGTGATGGGCTTTCATGCTTGGGCATGGTGTTGGTCGACATGCTGTTTCATGCCTGGCATTTGGCCTTTTTCCCTATGTGTCAGCCGGTGTCCTATGTTGATGACTGGACCTTGATCACCACTGACCCGAACATCATGGTAGGTATGTTTCAGTGCCTGGATAGGTTCACGAGGGAACTTGACCTGCAACTTGATCTCAAAAAGACTTGTGCCTGGTCAGTCACTGCACAGGGACGGAAGAAGCTCCGAGAACAAGGATTCACCTTGGTGTCCAGTTGCCGTTCGCTGGGAGCCCATGTGCAGTTATCTAGGAAACATACTAACTCAACCCAGATGGAACGAGTCAGTAGTTTGCAGCCGATGTGGTCCAGGCTACGCCTCTCAGCCAGTGCCTACGAGCAAAAAGTCCGGGCCATGCGTGCAGGTGCTTGGCCCCGTGGTTTGCACGCGATCACAGCGACCGCTGTGGCTACCAGTACTTTCAAGTCGCTGCGCTCTGGTGCCATGAAGGGGCTTGGGGCTGATGGTTCGGGTTGTAATGCTTTCATTCATTTGGGCCTTGTTGAGGTTCCCCATACCGATCCGCAGTTCTGGTCTATCATTCAGACCTTTCGCATGGTTCGTGATTGTGGAATTGAGGATGTAGTCCACTCGGTTCTTTGGGCCATGGTGCAGGGGCAATCCAACTTTGCCTCCAATGGTATCTCGGCTACGTTGCTCACACGGGTTCAAACTCTTGGGTGGCATGTCGATCGCATGATGTTCGTGGATGACTTTGGCTACTTTTCTCTCTTTGATGTGGCAATTGATGACCTTGTGTGGCGGATGCAGTGGGCATGGCTGAAAGTTGTTGCAGCCAATGTTCAGCACAGACCTGGGTTGAAAGATTTGCACCTCATAGATCCAATTAAGACACGGCTGTGGCTCCAAAAACTTTCACCTTGTGATCGGGCTTGCTTCAGGAAAATCTTGAATGGTGCTCATATCACTCAAGATGGGAAACATTACTGCCAAGAAAGTGAGGTTGACACGTGCCCATATTGTTCCTGTAGTGATTCGCGTTTCCACAGGTTTTGGCAGTGTGATGCTTTCACAGCATGCAGACACATGGTGGATCAGGATCTCTGGGATGCCCTTCCTTCACTGCCTGAGTGCGTGGTTGCCTATGGTTGGTCTCTTCGACCTTCAACCTTTGAAGAGTGGTTTTCTTCGTTGGCTGCGATTGATGTTGGTGCAGTACCTCCATTAGCAGTTCGCCCTAGTGATGTTTTGCACTTGTTTACTGATGGGTCATGCTTTAATCCTCAGTACCCTGATGCGCGCTTTGCAGCTTGGGCGATTGTCGTGGCTGACCCTGGCCACTTTGATCTTTCTTTCATTCTGGACAGTGGTAGTTTACCGGGGATAAGACAGACATCCATGAGGGCGGAACTATTTGCTGTTTTCAGAGCGGTGAGATTTGCTGCCTTGCACCAAGTTAAAATCATGATTTGGTGTGATTGTCAAGCAGTCGTGAACAGACTCCGAAAACTTCTTGCTGGAGGATTCCCACGCATCAATTCTCCCAACGCTGATTTGTGGCTGCGAATCTCCCATGATTTGGCTTTATTAGGTCCAGGGTATGTCGCAATCACGAAAGTTGCTGCTCATCAATCTTTGCACAGTGCGAAAACAATCTTTGAGGAATGGTGTTTTCTACATAACCAGTTTTCTGATAACGCTGCCAACCGTGCCAACATGAGGCGCCCTCCGCAGTTTTGGGAATTGCTTGGTAGACATGTGACAGCTTGTAAATTGGTTGACAGATGGAACTCCTCCATTCAACAGGTGTTGCTCCAGATTAGTCAAGCAGTCTTGCGTGTTGATGCCCCTCGCTCTGCTGACATTTCTCCAGACACTCCTGATTGTGTGCCTGTGTGGACTCCTTTGCCTCCCCTGGAATCGCTCCCGTCCAAAGCAGTGCGTTGGTATGGGGATGGCATGGTGCGAAAGCTTGTGTCTTGGTTTTGGGACACGCTCCATGGTGCTGTTGGACCGGTTCAATGGGTTGCCATGTCTCAACTTTTCATCGACTTCGCTAGTTCTACTGGTGAGGTCGGGCCCCTCAAATTGCATAAGTGGTGTGATGGTTCTGATTTTCCACTGCAGGGATTGGTGTCGAGACCATTCCGGCTTCGCGTTCGTTGGTTTGGGAAATTGCTGCGCGAGATTCTTCGCCATAGTGGTGCAGAGGTTTCTACTGGTTATGTGCGTCCTGCAAGCACAATGGTGGCCATGTTCTCGAGCTGCATTGCCATTCCTTGGCCTGTTGAACGTTTGACGATGGTTGATGATTGGATCCTTTTGCACACAGATGCTCCATATCGTAGGCAGTCGAAATCAATTGACTTGCTGCCTGTTCCTCAGAGAAACAAAGGTTTTCCTGGGGTGGTTCTCACGTCATGTGCATAGTTTGGCACCTGTAAGGGGGTCGCCTTCGTGATCTAAGGCGACGCAGTCCGGAAATGGGAGAAATGGTGGTTTGGAACATGAATTTTATGACTGTCCATTCAGTTGGGAATGAATCATAATCCCAACTGACTTTCACTCCATCATTTTTCAGAGGGGTAGGTTGAAACCACCAACCAGATCCATTTAGTTTGATGATTTCCCATGGAAATTTTCATCGGGGACTTCCCATCGCCATGTTTGACTACCGGTGAGAAATCCAATACTGGCTTAGCCTGAAAATAGGCTAAGTACTCCCAATTTTTTATGCTTTGAAATCCGATTTTAATGTATTTTACCTCAGTTAATTTGTTCACCCCAGTTATAAATGGGTTGATGAGCTGAATTAATTGGTTGAACAACCAAGGCACTGACGATTTTTCGGGAAAACCGCCAACTATCATATCCGATTATATGCCCTCTATTTCCTATAAAATGAATTGGTGTTACATTCCAAGACCCCAAGATGATTAAGTCCCCCATGTTCACATTCCATCGGCCTGACATAGTTTCCCAATGGTTCCAACGAACGTATCCATTTTGGGTCATTAAAACCTTCGGAATAACAAAACCATACCAGTAGCGCTTACCCATTTAAGATACCCTCTAGTAAATTAACATGACGACCCTGGCATTTATCAGGGTTGTTTATATGAGTTGTTCAAGTTTTCACTAAATGCCAGGGTTTTTTTAAGGGTGGAACTGTTTATTTACCAGCAGGTTTACATGAATTCCAATATATTTTACAGGATGGGGGCCCCAAGATAGCTAAGTTGCCTTATAAGTGGCTTAACTATGGTTCATTGCAGATATAACGCACTAGTCAATGGGGACTATAGTGGTTTATAAACCAACATTCGCATCACGTTTGGTGGCCCCATGAATGAATATATAAGATACATGTCACATCATTTCACCATCATTTTCTATACAATGTGGGGCCCCCAAACGTGATGTTTGTTGGTTTATAACCCAATCTAACTATAGTTATAACTACCAATAACTACCAAAAATCCTAGTTATTGTAGGTATAAACCAACTGAACGCTATCTTATGGGGGCCCCATTTTGTAGGTGACAAGTTGAAGTTTCCCAGGAAACTTTGATTTGCACACCTTGAAGGTCCCGAAACGGATCATCCAGGCCTGGTGGACACTTTGACGGGACATAATTGATAGGGATGAGTAGTAATGGACATATCATAGGGATATAACTGGGGATATATTATCGGGTTAATTTCATAGGGATATTTTTTGGGGGATATAAAATGATGTAAATAGGGGTTTGGGTATATAATGTATTCAGTAGATTTAATATAGACTTGGGGGCGGATTCTGATAGTAGATATATAATAGATAATAGACATATAACTCTAATATAACGCTACACTGGCAGTAATGGACATGTAATAGAGATATAATATACAATGTGGGGCCCCCGAACGATAGCTAAGTTGGTTTATAACTTCATAACTATGGTTTATGAATGTGTATGATACTTATAACTATTGTTAATGGGGTTTATAAACCAACAAACATCACCGGGGGGCCCCACATTGGATTTGGGTATGGAAGTTTAGGCCCGGATGGCCGGAGCATCTGGATTTCACCCCGCAAGGTGGTGGTTTATTCCTTCAACTGATACACCCTGACAATTTATATAGGTTATTCCTTCACTGATGCGCGTCAGAATCTTCCGGAGATTTATTGCAACATACCCTCCGGTAAGCTAACAGTTTGCTATTGAAAATGACCATGGAAATAGTTTTTTTTGTTTACCTATTATTAAAAAATTGTGATTTTCCATAGTTATGTTAGTTTACTATGAAAAAAACACCATTTATAGTGAGTTTTCCAATGAACAAAAATGATTTTCCATAGTTAATATTAAATTACCAGAGGGTAATGGGCCAAGTTGAAGATTTGATCCAGCAACACTGGCCCAACAATGCGGCTTTTACGGTGGATTCCCCCGATCATATCGGATTGAAAATGCCTAGGTTTGCCGTTTGCCCTGGTTTCGCAATGACTCCAAAGGAATGAAATTGCAAGTTTTAAGTTTTACATCATAGCATAGTTTTGGTTAATTATCCCATTATATCCCACAATATATATATATATATTGTATATACATACACAATACATGCACGTTTTTGTTTTTTTTTTTTTGCGGTGATATATATATATATATACAAATGTTTTGTTTATCTATATACAATGTCATGTGTGTATACATATATATATATATTCCAGCACGCCATGTTTCATGAAACCAGAGGCTACGTTTCAAGAGCAACGAGCTGAAGTTTGGTAATCATTGCTAGCTAAGCTGGGGATTAAACCTGCCCAAAATGGGGACTTCAACTGATGTTAAGCAAGTTGATTTAGACCTCCTAAAGTGAGTTTATGGCAGACATATCGAATACTTGCCTATGTTTAAACAGTTTATTTGTGAATGCCTACATATCTATGTTTAAATATCTAGTTCTGGTTGGTGGTTTGGAACATTTGGATTATTTGTCCATTCAGTTGGGACAGTTGGGACTAATAATCCCAACTGACGAACTCCATCATTTTTCAGAGGGGTAGGTTGAAGCCACCAACCAGTAATCATTAATAAACCATATTATTCAAGATCATTACCCATATAATAACCATATATTAACCATATATTACCAGTATATTAACCATATATTAACCACCAACCAGGTTTGTATTTATGGCAGATATTACTGTTGCTCCAGTAGCTCCAATGCCTGATATATATAGAACGAACATTTTGGATGAACAGATGCTGAGCTGCCCGGAGACCGTGATCACATGACATTATATGTAATAAACCGATATGGGGACTAAACAAATATCACATCATAGTCATAGATTTATGATATATGTATAGTAACATTAACATTATATATAATAACATGTTAATTGTATGATACAAGTTTTGGACATCATCATTGTTTTTCGAATAAGACATCCCCAGCGGTGATAGAGAGTAACTTCGCGGTTTCTAGGAGGCGAACATGGATAACTTGCAGAAACTCGTGGTGGAGGATGCGCAGCAAAATGTCTTCTGCCTCAATGGCGGGGGGGTTTGGTCACCAAGAATATCCATTGTTTGGCAAATCATCCATAAATGGGGATGTTCAATATATCTATATCATATATATATATAAACCCATTAACAACCCATTAGAATCCACTAGATATATGATATATTATTCCTGGTAAATTATAACGACCTCACTAGTCTCCCTCACTGGGAATCATGGTTTAGATATAGGGGAATCATCCCCTTTTATGGCCGAACTATTCCGGTGAGTGAAATATTATAATTTACCCAGAAGAATGGGGTTAGCCATGAAAAATGATGGTTTAATGGGACATGAATGGGATGTAAATGAGATGATAGTGGGATTTCATGGGACAATTTGGGAAAATCATGGGAAAATGGTGCTTTGTAACCAACCAAAGCTACAGCAACCCCAAGTCATAGATAGGACACTGGGAAATTTGGAAGCAGAAAATATGATATGGAAAGACTTTTGGGGCATCTTCTTTGGGGGCTGTGGCTGTATGTCTATAAGCACCTCACGTCACGACCAAACCCTGGCATGGTTACTAAGGGGAAGTAGCCAATTGTTTGTCGTATTTCAGGTTAGTGAATTTCTATAATTTGCCCATATATTAATATATTAATATATTAATAAATATATATATATATATGTATATATGTATATATATATATATATGTATATATATATGTACATATATATATATGTATATATATATATGTAAGAAATTGATCAAAGTAAGGGTGATTAAAAACCACTCATTTCTTGATAACTATTCAGTAGTGAACATGGAACCTATTCCAATCATCACTTGAATTTCTACCAAATTGAATGGTCACCATCAAATTTCATCATTTTCAGACCAACCCAGTTTGATCGTCTTTGGAAGTTCTTTTCACCGACCATCTGGCTGGACCTTTGATATGATCGAGGAAATTCAGAAACCATGACTGGTTGGTGGTTTGGAATATTTTATATTTTTCCATAGATTGGGAATAATAATCCCAACTGACTTTCATATTTTTCAGAGGGGTTGAAACCACCAACCAGATGAACAATAACATCCAACCAAATATCAATATGCCCTTCCATTGGTCTTATTCACCTTGCATTTCTTAACAATATACCTCCTTGCAAGGGCCTTTTCCAACAGTTCCTGTATATCACCGAAAAAATAGCTGAAAGGAGGTAATCTTCCTGATGAGCTGTGCATGCTGTTGATAGTTTTGGTATACCGGTATACCAAAACAAAAAAAACCGCTTTCTTTCAAGTTTCATGGGGAAAATATGGGAACATATGAGACATGTATGGGAAAATATGGGAACATATGGGAAAATATGGGAAAATACGGGAAAATATGGGAAAATTGAAGATCAAGTGGATTTAGGGCTACCCAGTGGTCACTCAAAGCCATGTGATCAAATCCCTCCTTTTTCCCCAGCGTGGCTGGCTCAGGTGGTTCACTACGCAGCGATGCAATCCTGTCCCAACGCCCTTTACATGTCGCTGGATGACACTGGCGCACCATTGTTTTTCCAGTGGATGGTCATCATGTTTTCATCGTTTTTCTGTGGAAAAAATGGTTAGTTTAAACTGGGGCCACACACCAGATATTTTCAGAAACTAACACCATCATTTGGTTGATGCCCTTCGCTTTAGAAGTACTCTACTTGAAATAATAAGTTGGTTCGGTTGAACGATGATGCTGCTTTTCTGGGTACTCTCCATCAATCTAAAGATTGAATAATAGATCCATATGTTGAAGGCTTCTTTCTGAACAAATGTGCGTTTTTTTCCCAAACCCGCAAGGTTGGCTTCCCTATTTTGTTCCACTTAAATCCACCAGTTTCCAATGGTTTTCCACTTGAATCCCCTTGTTATTTTCTAGTTTCCAATTTCTAATTATATATATATAATATTATATATATAATATTATATATATAATATTATATATATATATAACTCCACTATTTTCTCTAGTTTCTTCACTTGAATCCATGATTTTTCCAAGTTCTCCAGTTCAATCCATCATTTTCCATGTTTTTTCGTGAGATCACCCCCACATTTTCCACGTTAAAACGGTGAAATCCCACGCACAAAATTTCCGCCGCTGAAGTCAGGTTGGCCACGGGAGTGGACTGGGCCTTGGACCCGAAAGCGCTTCGAGCCAAGGAGTGCGAGCTGCGAGACACCCTGGTTGATGATATTTGATGATTAGTTGGGGGATTTTAACCACTATTTATAGGATTTTAACCATCAATAATGTGGGGATATGAGTGTATGTAACTGATAAATGATGGTTGGTTGATGATTCGTTGGGGGATTTAAAAAAAAACAAATCTACCGATATTGGGGGTTATGATATACGATTTATATAATCCAGGTTGATGATTAGTTGGGGGATTTAACCACTATTTATAGGATTTTAACCATCAATAATGTGGGGATATGAGTGTTTGTAACTGATAAATGATGGTTGGTTGATGATTCGTTGGGGGATTAAAAAAAAAAAACAAATCTACCGATATTGGGGGTTATGATATACAATCCAGGTTGATGATTAGTTGGGGGATTTAACCACTATTTATAGGATTTCAACCACTATTTATAGGATTTTAACCATCAATAATGTGGGGATACGAGTGTATGTAACTGAAAAATGATGGTTGGTTGATGATTAATGATAGGGGGATTAAAAAAACAAATCTACCGATATTGGGGGTTATGATATACGATTTATATAATCCAGGTTGATGATTAGTTGGGGGATTTAACCACTATTTATAGGATTTTAACCACTATTTATAGGATTTTAACCATCAATAATATGGGGATATGAGTGTATGTAACTGATAAATGACGGTTGGTTGATGATTCGTTGGGGGATAAAAAAAACAAATCTACCGATATTGGGGGTTATGATATACAATCCAGGTTGATGATTAGTTGGGGGATTTAACCACTATTTATAGGATTTTAACCATCAATAATGTGGGGATATGAGTGTTTGTAACTGATAAATGGTGGTTGGTTGATGATTCGTTGGGGGATTAAAAAAAAACAAATCTACCGATATTGGGGGTTATGATATACGATTTATATAATCCAGGTTGATGATTAGTTGGGGGATTTAACCACTATTTATAGGATTTTAACCACTATTTATAGGATTTTAACCATCAATAATGTGGGGATATGAGTGTATGTAACTGATAAATGATGGTTGGTTGATGATTAATGATAGGGGGATTAAAAAAAACAAATCTACCGATATTGGGGGTTATGATATACGATTTATATAATCCAGGTTGATGATTAGTTGGGGGATTTAACCACTATTTATAGGATTTTAACCACTATTTATAGGATTTTAACCATCAATAATGTGGGGATATGAGTGTATGTAACTGATAAATGATGGTTGGTTGATGATTCGTTGGGGGATTAAAAAAAAACAAATCTACCGATATTGGGGGTTATGATATACGATTTATATAATCCAGGTTGATGATTAGTTCGGGGATTTAACCACTATTTATAGGATTTTAACCACTATTTATAGGATTTTAACCATCAATAATGTGGGGATATGAGTGTATGTAACTGATAAATGATGGTTGGTTGATGATTCGTTGGGGGATTTAAAAAAAAACAAATCTACCGATATTGGGGGTTATGATATACGATTTATATAATCCAGGTTGATGATTAGTTGGGGGATTTAACCACTATTTATAGGATTTTAACCATCAATAATGTGGGGATATGAGTGTTTGTAACTGATAAATGATGGTTGGTTGATGATTCGTTGGGGGATTAAAAAAAAAAAACAAATCTACCGATATTGGGGGTTATGATATACAATCCAGGTTGATGATTAGTTGGGGGATTTAACCACTATTTATAGGATTTCAACCACTATTTATAGGATTTTAACCATCAATAATGTGGGGATACGAGTGTATGTAACTGAAAAATGATGGTTGGTTGATGATTAATGATAGGGGGATTAAAAAAACAAATCTACCGATATTGGGGGTTATGATATACGATTTATATAATCCAGGTTGATGATTAGTTGGGGGATTTAACCACTATTTATAGGATTTTAACCACTATTTATAGGATTTTAACCATCAATAATATGGGGATATGAGTGTATGTAACTGATAAATGACGGTTGGTTGATGATTCGTTGGGGGATAAAAAAAACAAATCTACCGATATTGGGGGTTATGATATACAATCCAGGTTGATGATTAGTTGGGGGATTTAACCACTATTTATAGGATTTTAACCATCAATAATGTGGGGATATGAGTGTTTGTAACTGATAAATGGTGGTTGGTTGATGATTCGTTGGGGGATTAAAAAAAAACAAATCTACCGATATTGGGGGTTATGATATACGATTTATATAATCCAGGTTGATGATTAGTTGGGGGATTTAACCACTATTTATAGGATTTTAACCACTATTTATAGGATTTTAACCATCAATAATGTGGGGATATGAGTGTATGTAACTGATAAATGATGGTTGGTTGATGATTAATGATAGGGGGATTAAAAAAAACAAATCTACCGATATTGGGGGTTATGATATACGATTTATATAATCCAGGTTGATGATTAGTTCGGGGATTTAACCACTATTTATATGGTTTTAACCACTATTTATAGGATTTTAACCATCAATAATATGGGGATATGAGTGGATGTAGCTGATCAATAATGGCTGGTTGATGATTAATAGCTGGGGGATTAATAATCCAAGAACGGGGAATCCCTATTAACCAACCAGTATAATGGAAAGACAAAAGGATTTTTAACACTGCTCAACTGGGACTTGAAGTAGAATGGAGAGTCATAGAAGGTGCTTTCCCCAGCAGTGAAATGGTTGTTGTTTTATAACCGTTTTGAACCATAGATATATCTACCATAGTGAATCTAGTTTAAAACAACAACAACAACAACAACTACTACTACTACTACAACTACAACTACAACTACAACTTAGCTAACTCCAGTGACATGTTTGTTGGCTTGTATGAAGTTCATAACTCCATGAATACTATAGATATATCTAATATTGTATTGTTTGTTGGTTTATAAACCCATGAATACCAACAACTTAGAAGGTGTTGGCTTCCCCAGTGACATGAATGTTGGTTTATAAGTCCACTAACTATATATAGGTATATCATGATATATCTACCAGAACCCATAGAATTCACCTAGTTATGCGAATGTTGGTTTATAAGCACATGAATACTAAGAACTTAGTTAGATATCTACCATAGTTATCTTAGTTAAGCTACTTAATCATAGTTTACCATAGTCAAGTATAGATATATCCACCATAAACTGTAGGAGCTTAGTGTAGCGCGCTCTAGGTTTTGACCTAAACAGGGTTTACCTTAGTTTTGGGCTCAAGGTAGCCGGGGGCCATGGTTCGGGCCGCGCTAGGGGTCGTTTACCTCCTAGCGTCAGCCACGGCAAATGGATGGAACTTGTTGCAGCTTGGACTGCTGACTAGTACCAACTCCTCCGACGATCTTAGAAACCGAACAGAAGCAGGCCCAAGGGACCGAGGCGGGCCATCCCGCCCGGACCCTGGGCTTGGAAGCAACAGAACTTGGGACTGGTGGAGTGTCGCCTGGGATGGCGCCTACCATTACGTCGGAAACAGCTGGTGGATCAAAATGTGGGTAAGGATGCTGTTACAGGTTGCAGAAAATGGGATAAGCTACTGTGGGACCCTTTGTGCCTCAATTGGCTTAGCAGCCCGATGGAGCTATTGGCTCCTTACCGGGATGGTCCTCGTCTTCTTGCTCCAGTTGCTTGTCTGGACCTACACGTGGGTCATTCATCCGACTTGGATTCACTCCAGGGCCCTCTGGCGATACTGCCAAGGGACAGGCACTTGGAGCGATGTGACACGCTTGCAGGGGCAGAGGCCTTTCATACCCGTCTGGAAAGGGCCGGGTACAGGAACACCATGGTCCGCCTTGTACATCCAGCGCGAGGTACGGGGAAGAGGACCGAATCAGAAGCCATTCGACCTCTTAGTTGCGGACGGAGCTGCTGTAGCGAGGCTTCGTCACGGGACTATAAGGGGAAGAACGAATCGGCACGGATTCCTCTGCCAGTGTGAAGAGGTTCGAGCCTCGTCGCATCGATACCTCCGTCACCACATAGAGACTGCCAACTGCACTGTCCACCTGTGCGCTCAAGACCCTTGCGCCGCCCCTGAAGTTGCGCAGGTGCATATTAGGGCCAGCGCAACGGTCCCGCAGGACCGGGAGGTCAACCTGCAGGAACTAGCAGGAAGGGGCCCCTGGGGACGGTGCGCGGTGATCACAAGCTTTTGCGGGATACTTTGGTGCCGCTGTTTCGGCCGCAGCATGGCGAGATGCGGCCGAGCTTGGTGCTGGTGTCTGTGGTGCCGGTGTTGCCGTACGAGGCGAGTTTCTCGCCCGGAACGCGGCGCAGGGTACCAGGGCCAAAAACATGAAGATTCTGAGACAGAATCCGAGGCGGAACTAGGCCCCGCGGGGCTGCACTGTCAAGCGGACCAGGTCGCTCTAGACAACTACGGCAAGGTAGTTCCTCTTGCTGCTGGACCATGCAGAGACGTGGCCCGAGGTTGTCCCGTTGTGCTTCTACAAGCTGACCGATCCAACAGCTGTCTTGATGGATTACCAACCACTGAAGGCGGCGACCCCTGCTTTCATGCCTGTGAGTACCACAGGTCCATGTACCAGGGCTCGCTTCTGGGTCGAGCATGTGCGGTGCAGGGGTGCCTGCATCCAGTCACTGGGACCAGGAAGGGGGTCAACTTTTGCAAGTTGCACGGAGCCACAGAGGAGAAGCCCCGGGCCAAAGCCGCACCTAGGGCACGCGAAGCTTCACCGCCCCGGGTAGATACCGACCAAAGGTCAGAGACCGCGCGTCAAACAGAGAGACCAGGAGTCAACGCGATGCAGGGTGCGGTGGCTGACAAGGCAGACCTAGCCGAGCTCCTGGTCGAGCTGCTCCAGGGCAAAGAGGCAGAGGAAGCGTATCAGGTCCTCTCTGCCAGGAACCCGGGGGACGTCAAGTGGAAGCATCCTGGGTTCCAGGACTCGCTGACTTCCCTGGCGAAGGCCTATGTGCAACAACACAAAGACTTGGAAACGCGGGAATCACCCGCCTGGAGAGCACTCAACCGCCTTGCGCATCCCCCTGCCGTCTGTCAAGAACCAGAATATGACCCCGTAACTCGGATGCTGGAAGCCACGTTGGAGAGGCCTACAGAAGAAGAGAAATCCGACACGCCAGCCCCACGGCTGGTAAGGCCGGCCTCGGCTCCTGCGAGCCATTTCCCGGGTCCTCGCACCTCCGGTGAGCTCGCTGCGAGCTTGTTTCGCCCCAAGAGCGAGATCGATTCTGTCCTGCCGCGCCCGAGGCTTGTTTCGAGCCCGGGAGCGGTTGGAACTTTCTCAGGAACGCCCGGTCCAGCAGGTTCCGTAGGGATGCAGGGTTTACACGCCTTCCGACCCTTTCATGCTGGAGCCTACACTGATCCGGGACCTCCGGCCCTCGATGAAACTTCAAAAGCTCTGCAGACAATCGCAAAAGTTATGGCGGCGAAGGAAGACCCAGCTGCCCAAGATCGAGGGAAGCTGTCCTCGATCGGCAGAACAGAGGAGAGGATGCTGTACCTGGCTAGAGGGTGCGACACGCTGACGGTGCACCTTGGGGAAGCCACGGTCGGAAAGGAGCCGTACCACGCCCTAAAGTCTGTAGCGACGCAGAACCGGCCCTTGTTGAGAGAAATCAGCTTCCCGGTGGCATCGCCTTTGGGGCCGCTTCCCTCAGTTTCGGGGGCAAAGGTAATCCGCCTGACTATTGCCTCACTGTGGCCGATTTTGCCCAGACCTCGGAGGAGGAGTTTGACTTGTTTAGCCCGCCTGGGGATAACAAGCTGGAAAAACGGGCGCGGAACCCTACTACTCTGTCCAATTGGTACCGAAATGCTCTACGCCAAGCTTGGGCCATGGCATGTATCCTGGGGGCAGAGTACTATGGCAGTTGGGAGAAGGCTGCGGCACAACTCCTTAAGTTTGGGGAAGAATATGCCCATGCGTGGCCGTTGCACTCGGTCATGAGTGTGTGGGAGGAGCTCTGGGCTCGCTTCACGGAAGAGTTAAGAGCGCTCGATCGAAGAGCCAGGCGGGAAATGCAAGACGAGAGCCCTAGCTTTGACCGTCTTCGGTTTTTCGCCACCTCCCCCGGGGACAATGGCGAACCCTGGCTCCGGCTGCCTCAAACTTTCGACCTTCAGGCACCAGGAGAGTACTTCCAAACGGATATTGTTCCTCGCCAACAGCGCATGTTGGATCGTGCTTGCTGGTCAATGGCCCTTAAGAGACCGTCCCCACTCACTGGCGGACGAGCTGGAGCTGAAGATATCGGCGGACCAGACAAAGCGCAACCGGCCGCTCCCAACCCTAGGAACTCACGGGCTGGAAGCAAAGGGAGTGCCCCTGGCGCTGGCACCGCCGTCAAGGAACCCGCCCCCCTCCTGGGAAATGCTTTGACCAGCAAGGAGGCGGGCCGCTCCATGGATCACCGCCCGAAAGACAAAGACGGGAAGTATCTGTGTTGGGATCACTTTTCCCACCGCAAATGCAACAAGGGAAAAGATTGCCCGCATTCGCACCATGGCAACGTGCCACGCTGGGATACTCTCGATTGGAGCGTGCAGATGCAACTCTTGCGACGAGGCGGGCATCCCGCCCGTCCGAAACTCAGAGGAGACCAGGTGGACGCTGCCATCGAATCCATCCGAAAGGAGCAAGCCCAGAAGCTAGAGTCCAACATTCAGGAAGGCAAAAGGGCGAAAGAAATGGCTAAGCGGACCGGGGGTCCTCCTCCTCAGGATGCCTCGACCCAATACCGGGAAGACACCCGAGCTGGCTGGACCCCAGCGCCAGCGGCGCTAGCCAATTTCGCCGCCACTGATATGGAAGATCCCCTTGCTCGACTTATGACAGGAGAAGCTGCTGCAAGTTGGACTCTCGACCACGCGCCCCCCGCTGTGCGCACGGTCACTTACCGGGAGCCACCCGACTCTGCCACGATCCAAGCCAAGCGTCACTGCATGGACGAGATTGACAGCTGCGGCCTTCTCCCAGATCTACCCCAGCACCTGGGCATCTATCTGCGCAACCGGCTGACAGCCGTCAATGACCGGGCTCCAAACGCTCACGATGTTCAAGAATTCCTTGAGGACGCTATTCGAGAAGGCAGTGCAGAACTTGCTTCAGAAGCTACTGACTATCTCCATAATCACCCCGACACGCATGTTGGGTCGCGAGAGGGACGCGGAGCATTGGGGCAATTCTCAGCACACGGCTTCGACGGGTACTCTTGGGCGACCTTTCGCTGGAGAGACGGTGACCATGCGGTCTATGACTACGGCGACCAGCTCGCACCCGTGCATCCTGAGCTGCAACCTCTGGAATGCCCCAAACCAGAGACGGAGCCCCGACAGTGCTTCTACCTGCATGTGGCCGCTGGCCTTCTGGCCCATACCACGAATCGTGTGCCTGCTCTCTCCGAGGTCCGCCTCAAAGCGGCAGCCTTACAGGAGGAAACTTTCCGCCTGGCGATGGCTTGCGCGGACAACTTGGGCCCGGAACCTGACGTTTGCACTCAAGCTGAAGACGACTTGCGCATCTTCGTGCACGACGCTCTCTTCTTCGGCCACGACAAGGATTACCGGTGCCTGGCGGCCTTTCCCTTGCCAGAGGCCGCGGACGTCTCGTTTTGTCTTGTCCGCATGGACGCTTGGAACCGCACCTCTTGCGAAGTCATCCAGGGGGCCCACAGTCGTTCCGACCCGAAGTCCCTTATCTGGCTCCTGGTTCACCAGGGCCACATGCGGTTACTCCTCCCGGAAGTCACGACTTCTATCCCGGACAACGTGCGGATTGTCACTGCTGCTGGCTGGGAAGTCCACCTGGAAGCGGCCGCCGAGCACGGGGCGCGTCATCGCGCCCGTGCCCCGAAACCATGCCCGCGCTGCCAAGATGACCCTATGCGCCGTACCGGCGTCACCACCGGGGTGTTCGGCTTGTACCCTTTTCCCGCTGAGACGGCTGCCTTAGATTTCCGGGCAGGAGCATCTTGGTGGGAAGTCGACGAACCCCCCTCCGAACAATGGGCCCGCGAGGACCTGCAGGAGCTCTTCCCTGGCCAACAACTCCCTGAGCCAGGCCAACCGCTCCATTTTTTGGGGATATACGTTGACGCTCTCGGTTGGGACAACACCCCGGACGCGCCGGTTGGCGCCGCCCTTTTTGTCGGTCCGGCCACTAGCCGCAACTTCTGCGATGGCCGTGTGCGCTCTCTTCTTCGCGCAGCTCTCACTCTCTTGCGCCCTCGCCACGTGTGGGTCCTCCTGCCCCGCACGGGCCTCGGCCGCGGGCCTGAGTCTTCCACCAGCGCCTTGGGGTCTTCTGCCCACCAGCACCTGCAATTTACGCTTGAGCTTGGTCAGCATCAGTTGAACCTGCCCGGGCACTTCTCTTGTTCACCCTCTGACCAGTCCCGTGTGGAAAGATCCCGCGGCCATCCAGCTTCTTTCGCCATTTCACCGGGTTCGCCTTCCAGCTTCGCCCGTTGACCCCATGACTGCGGCGCTTTGTGGACCGTCCCCGGCCGCCTACTTGTGCCTGAAAACCACCTCTTCGGCGCTGGCTATTGCCGTTGGGTCGCCCTCATCGGAGTTGCCGCATTCCTCTCCCCTCGCCTCCGTCCTCTTCGACGGCGCTGAGGCGTGTTTCGCGCCCGGCGCCGGCTTGCGACGGGCGGGGGGCGCCCCCTTTGTGGTTCAAGGGGGCTGCACTTCCTCGGGGGGGGGAGGGGCCTCTTCGTTCTCTAACTTGGGCAAAGACTTCCATGGCTTGAAAGGCCCCCTGGCGCGGCCGCTAGACCCGGCAGTCGAGCAGGCGACAAAGGAATATCTGGATTTCTTCCGAAACCGAGCTTTCTCCGCTGAACATTTCGCGTCTGCTGCTCAGAAAGGATCGGCTCTTCTGGCAGCAGCCGGTGGATGGCAAGAAGCCCTCCGGGCTATCCGCAGGGTCTGGGTGCAGGAACGAGGTGATCACATGTCTGGTCTGCATAGTGACTTCTTTGAGGGGCTGGTTCACCCGGCAGTTTTAGAAAGGGCGAGGCATGTGGCTATCTGGGGAGTCGAGGCATCTGCTGACTTAGAGGAAACTACTCGGACCAAGAGTGCGCCTCACCCGAGCTTGAAGGAACACCTCGACGAAGCTGCTGCGCAACTCTGGGACGACGCCAGCAAAGGCCGTTCCCTGCTCTGCTTCGACACCGGCAAGGGCTTGGAAGGGGTTGTGTCAGTCCCAATGGCCAGGGTCCCCAAGATGAATCCAGACCGCACGGTCTCCGATAAGGGTAGGGTCATCTGGGACGCCACGCCGGTGAACAGGTACTGTCACAAGTCCCGGCACCCGCCTGCGCTCCAACCACGACACCAGGAGGTCGCCAGAGCAATACTGTGGTGGAAGCTTCGGTACCCTAGGATCCGAATCCTGCTCAGCAAAAAGGACGTATCCGAAGCCTTCAAGTGGATCCCGGTTCGGCTAGAGGACTCCAAGCTTTTCGCTGCAGATCTTCCAGCTGAATACAGCAATACTCAGGAAGGCATCACCATAGTCTATGGGTTTTTGACTTTTGGCTGGTGCGGTGCGCCCGGAGAGTACATGCACTATGCTTGGGTCATTAAACTGGCTCACGAAGCCTTCGCGCCCGAAAACTCCAGGTGGGAGGATACAGTCCCATACCATTCTTTCGTCCTCATGGACGACACGGTGCTGATCGAACCCGAGATTGGGCTGAGACCGGAAACCTCGGTGGCACTGACGGAGCATCTGACTCGTGCTGTTCTTGGGGATGCCAGCATCAACGAAGGAAAGGATTGGCTTGAGGGACGGTTGGAAACTCGCAAACTTATTTGGGGGCTCATTTACGATACCCAAACCAACACCCGAAGCCTGCCAAGTGCCAAGCTGGAGAAGGCGTATCACCTCCTGCACTTGCCTGACTTTGACAGTGGATGCACTCATGTCTCGCTGCGCCTCATCCAACAATTGAGAGGCAACCAGCAGTTTTGGTTGGCGGTGCTCCCGGGCCTGAGCCCGTATTTGGGGTGTACAAATGACCTCCTTGGCCCTGCGGACCCGCAGGGCCAGGCTCGAGCCAAAGGGGATGAGAAGCAACAAAGAGAGACTTGGAACCGATTTTGGGAGGCTATTGAGCTTCAACGTTTGTTGGTGGACGTCAGCGCCTCTTGGGAGGTACGGTTCACTCACCCGCTCAATGCGGCCCTCTCGATTTCGGAACTGCTCTCCTTCCCAGGGATGCAATCCCAGGTGGTTTGGGCCTGTGGAGATGCCACTCCAGAAAGGGTGGCGGCAGTTGACTGGCATGGAAAGGTAGCAATTGTCGAGCCCGCGAGCCTCGTTTGGCAACGGATCCGCTACTTCTGCGGAGGGGAAGAGGGAACTGACGAGGAGCAGTCGGGACCGTACTCCGAGGATCGAACCGATCCCGAAGATGGTCTTCTGATCTCACTCGCCGAGCTCCTCGCCGTGGTGTCACTCGCCTGCACCCGCTGGACTGCTTGGAGGGGAAAGATTGTGATTTACGCGGGGGACAACCAGAACGTTATCTCCTGGCTTGAGAAAAGACAGGCTGGGCCCCCTGCGGCAAGGTTCCTGCTGCAGTTGCTCGCAGCCTTGCAAGCTATGTTCGGACATACCACAACCAGGTTGCCGACAGCCTCACGCGTGCCGAAGCACAAAGCATTCTGGAGGAACATGGGCTCCGTAAGCTCCCGTTCTCGGAGGTGCTCTTGGGGACTCTCGACAAAGGTTGGACTCGAAGGGCCCTCCTTTGGGGTGGAATGGACCATGGAGATAAGGCTGCAGCCCTCCAGTTAGGGCTCCGAAGGCATCCAGAGGGTCCGAATAAGCACCCGTTTCCGTTGAAAGAAGGTCTGGTGTGCGCTGAGATTGGAGAGGCCGGCCCTTATGAAATCGAGCTTGTCTCCAAGGGGCTTATCGTCCAGAGACACACC